GGACACACAGCAAACAGTGACAAGCTGAGGGGGAAGGACAATCATTTAGCTACTCTCTGTGGTGGATGAAAGCCAGTCCTGGCTTTCTCCTCCAGTTCTAGTTACTCTCCTGTCTGTGCCTCTTACAAGGTACCCAAGATTTCCAGGCATGACACCCCATGGTCAGACTCACCAGTCCTGGAGGACCTACGGTGAGGCTACAGGCAGTTACTGATCCACTCAGTCAGGGAGAAGCTCAGATCCCTAAGCCAGCCACAGAGGTCAGGTAGACAGAGGGACTGTGGGAGAAGCTAAAGTCACCTACATCTGTGATTTATTTTTCCTTCAGGTTTTGTACTTTTGCTCCTTGCTTGGGACCTTTTGTCCCCTAAGAATCTTGGGTTACAGTCTTTAGAATCTTTGAGTGGGTAACTCAAAACTCATTACCTGCCACCCATTCTACTTCAGAGGGCTGCCCCTTTTAGAGGGCGAGGCCTTCCCTGCCTCACATGGACTGGTGAGACTGACTTGAGAAAACTGTTTAGCTGCCTTTGTTTCCCTTTTCCTTGTGGGTAAGAATAGATTTCCTAATGTTCTCATAGTCAGAATGCATTCTTTAAGGAAAAATAGTCCTCAGAAACATACTGAAGAACAGATGGAGGGGTGTAAGCTACCTGTCATTTTTTTAGGAACCTCTTATATCTGAGAGACAGCTTACAGCACGAATATTGCACTACAAATTCAGTCCCTCTTCACTCAGATGACCTTTCCTGTCCTCTCCACGTCTCTGTTGATAAACGGTCCGATGTCCCCATCCCCATTTGACAATCGACGCAATGAGAGGTTAAATGCCTGCCCATTGGCGGCAGCTGAAATAAGAGTAAGACTCGATTGTCCTGACCGAATATGAGGTTCATTTCCCCCTCTTTCTTAAGGCCAAATTGTTACCTCAATGACTACCTTTGGCCTTCAATCCTTTGGCTGTTAAAACAGGTCCTTCCATATCTATAAAAGGTGGGTGCTTTTAGAGCTGAGATTTTATTATCTTAGAAATCAGAGCCCTCGGTGCTTACGGCATTCAAATGCTTTAAACACTTAAACCCCCCCCACCCCCCGCATTAGGCAGCAGTTCTCAGGCAGGGTGGAGTGGCTGTGGGTGAGCTCCGCTCCAAGAAGCAGGGGAAAATAAAAATATGAGTCCCTCCGTAATCTACAGTGTGACTCCAGCAGACAAATCTGCAGCAGAAAATATTTCCAGATCCAAGTGGGTCCAACAGAAGAAGGTCTGGCAATGCTTTTATTTCACTATGTATGTTTTTCTTTCTGTTGCCTCTCGTGGATTTTCAATTGATCAGGATCACCATCACCATGAGAAATGCAAATATTTTTCCGATATTTATTTATTTATTTATTTATTTATTTATTTATTTATTTATTTTGGAGACCAGGTTTTACTATGTAGTACAGAATTTTCTAGAACTTCAAATGAAAGTCTTTTTCCAGGCTGGCCACCGACTCAGAGATCTGTCTGCCTCTGCCTCCCAAATGCAAGGGTTACAGGCATGAGCCACCACCACACCATGCAACAAGTGGAAATTATTTAGAAATTACTAGAAACAGTTACTTGCGAGGGGCAGGGGAGTAGTTCTCAGTGAGGCTTGGATACTCTGCATTTAGCCTTCCATGCCTTGATAGAGAATGAAGAGAGCTGAAGCGTCGGTCTCAGCTGTCTGCTTGACAGGAAGACATCACTTACGGTAAGAACACACTCCTCGTGCTATTCAGTTTCTGAGTGTAAGCCAGTAGGCACTCATTCTGACCAAAACCAGCATTAATTTTCACCTCCATTTTCTGGTCATGACATTTCAGAAGGGTTTTCAGTGGTCTCTAGTTCTAACACAGGGCCTGGCGTGCTGTCTATGCTGATTAGGTGCTGGAGAGGAACTAAAGCCTTCCTAACTAGTGAGTAAGGTGTGATTAGAAACGCCCCAGCGAGTTTATACTCTCTCACCTCCTCGCTCTGTCTGAGAACACCATTCGAGAAAGACTGGGAACTTCCCAGGATAGGAAGGACAGCTCCACCCAAACAAATTTTGTTTGGAATCAAAGATAGAAACTGACAAGAGTGGCCATCCTGTTTGTGAGGCACCTGTTTGGTCTCACCTACAAGTAACTCAGATGCCAACAATTATTAGTTCAGCTTGGAAATGGCCTGTGAATATACATTCTCACGTTTGAGCTAAGATTATACTGAGAGTGCTTCCTGATGTGAGATTTCATTCTAAAAATGGAGCAGGCTGCTGTGTAGCTTCTACATTGAACAGTGCATTCAGGTTGGGTTATTTTTGCAGTCAACTGGATGAAAAGGTGTAACGGGTTGTGCTAGGGAAAAGGACTTCATGTTTTGAGAAGCAATTATGTTTCTATCATTTCTGTTCCAGAATTCGATGCAAACAAAACAAATTAATACCTCTGTAATGTACATGGTATTTCAGGAAGGAAGTCTTTGACAGAATGAATTTGATTTATTTTTAAAGCTTAATGTGTGTGTTTGTGTGTGTGATGTATGATTTTACACAAAATATTAGTATATTAGAAAGAGGATAAAATCTGTTTGAATATCGTAAAAAATGCCTTAGACATAATCTGAATGTTTAAATGTCTGTGAAGATAGATCTTCATATTTAAAATCATGTTTTAGTATTAAAGTATTTAATGTTAGTTTCAGTTGCACAAAAGAGGAAGGCCAAACATAGTTTAATTGCTAGGATAATTTTGTTTAGTAGAAACATTTAGGTTTGAGAAAATTTAGTTTTTATACATTAGAGATGTGGTTTTGTATAGCATGCAGTTTCACCTGTGTCTGGCCACTATTTGAACTTGATGTTCCAGAATCTTGGTAGTAATACTACATGAAAGAATGTGAAAACATGGGTGCTATCAATAAGATGTTCCATAGGCCACCAAATGCTAACTTATTTTTACTGCATGGAAAAATATTATATTCTTGTGCCAGTGGGATGTACATCGGTTTGTGAGCAATATGCTCCTGGATTGGTTAAATTCTTTTTCCAAGTGTTTAATGTCATACAGAGGTCTGAGGTGCTTTAGCTTCATGTTTCTCTTAGCTTTATTTTTTGAGAAAAATAATTAATGTTCTCTTGATTGAGTTCCTGTCTCTCCTCTGGCTTTTGTTACGTAATTCTTTTTGGAAATATTTGCTCAGGCACTGGGAGAAAGAAAGGAAAAATGGGCCTATTCTTTTAGATAAATGTTACCAACCCTCTTGTCTGCTTATACTTTTTGTTAGCCACTTTGAATCTTTTATTTTGGGGGTCTCATTTCCCCCAGGACAGTATTATCTAAAATGGAAGACAAAAATGAAGACTCGTGAAATCCGAGAGAAGATCCCACCATAAGGAAAACGGTCCAAGCTAAGGGTAATGATGCCACTCAGTATTACTGTGAATTCATGTCATTGCTGCAAGAGAAATTTAGATTCATTTAAATAACTAGGGATGTGCTTCTATTTCACTATTCCAAAATGCACTCATATGTTTGAGTGAAAACTCTCACTGGAGAAGCGTTTCTGATAATGAACTGGAACGCTTCCCCACCTGGACATCATTTCCAGAATTGTATTTTTGAAATGTTTGACCTTAGTACTAGAAGTCACCTAAGGACATACTTTACAGAACGGCACTGCCACTCTCCAGTAAGTTTTCTTGGACAGATAGCATCTGAGACTATCATTTCCTCTAATAAAACCCTAAATGTTCTAATCATTTGGCTGTGTGTAGTGGACAATTTTCTAGCTATAGACATAATTTGAGCACTTACTTTCTTCTTCCTCTCTCTCTCTCTCTCTCTTTCTTTTACTTATAATAATGTGTTTTGATTGAGTTGACTGTGTTCTCAATGTGAGTGGGTTATATGGATACCATGTGTGGTCCTAGGGTGTGGATGGATTGGTCATACTTTCTTACCGGGTGAAACACCCAGAAAATTCCTGTAACGTAGAACTCAGTTTTGTTGCCTATGAGCTCCTTCAGCACTCCACTCAGTCCTGCTGTTCATCTTCAAATAATTTTTTTTCTATTTCAAACACATTTCTGTTATCTTTAAGCAACAACACATATGTAGTGCAATCATAATCTTTGGCACAGCTGAAAAAATTCTTATGTAAAATATGCAAGGGTCTGTTAATTTCTCGTCATTGAATTGCACACAGAAGACAACATTTGGGAAATATCATAGATCTCCCCTTCTGGCAAGTCAGTATAGCTTATTGATTCAATGCTGAAATCGCATAGCATTGACAAAGGTACTTGCTGGTTTTGTAGCTCTGTTAGAATTCCCCCCAACCCTGTGCCTCAATCCCTACATCCTGTTACTCGTTCTGTAAAGTGGAAATAATTTGCTTCCATACATAAGGTAAATTTACCCCACCTAAGACTGCTATGAGGTATGAGTTAATATATGTAAAGTACTTAGACTAGAACCTTTGGTCAACACTAGTTAGTCCTGCAGTTACTCATAGCCATCAACACAGACCCTGCTGGAAATGCTCAACTGTGACCTTCTACTAGGAAAGTCTCTGTGCATACGTAACCTATTTTTTCTCTATGTGTATTGACTCATTAATGGCTCTTTAGGAAACCAATAGATAGCTTCGACTAAAAAGAAAATGCCATAGACATTCTGAAATCGTGGTTAATAATGCAGTCTTTATTTGCTGAGCTCACCGTGGGACCTAAGAACAAAGAGCGTTCCTTGTTATAAGTGCTTTACTGTGGCCTCTGGGGTTGTTTGGTTAACGCACATTCTAAAGGTTTTATGTGTTCCCTGAGTGATGTCCCTGCTAAGGAGTAGGTTAAGCGCCACACTTCAGATCTCCCTTAAGTCTCACTGTATTTGGTTTCCTTCGAATTCTTTGGTGAGGAACGGCCGTTCTGACACCAGTAAGTGTGAGATGAAAGAGGTCGTCTTGCTTATCATTTCTCTGCTGATTTGCTTTGCAGCTTGCGGTTCCCCACAATGATGAATGGACACGATTCGCCCGGACTCTGGTGGAGATCCGCGCCAACAGGGCTGACAGCGAGGAGGAAGGTGCTGTTGAGTTAGCTGCCTAGGTGTGAGATGAGTCTGCCCACCGTGGCGCCCATCCTTCCACGCTAGAACCCAGTCTACAGTCAAGGCCCCCGTGCAGTGTTTGGTGTCCCTTCTGTATCAGTATCGCCGTGGCATCTTGGGTGCCATGTTGTGCAGTGTTTCCCTGTATTCTCCACGTGTACCTACTCACCCGAAATCTACCACAGCATTTCTACCTTTGTGTCCCCGTCTCAAAAACAAATGGGGGAGGGAACCCTTAGGGGTTTAGTTGTTGCCTTTTAACTACTTGGTAGCTGTATTTAATAGCTGGAAACCTCTGGTTGAATTTGTGCTTACATGTACTTCTGGCGTAGTCCTATTAAATCCATATGAAGCCAGATATGATTGGGTGCAGATGTGGCGTGCCTCATGATATGGTACAGGGCCAAAGACTTGCGATGTGGTGTTTTACATGGTGATTCACATTATGAATGGATTTACTACAAGAACATTGCTGCTCCTTATTTATTGTAACGTGCTGCATGGAACATATTTATTTGAAAGCATTAAAATAAACGATCTTAGAGCATGAGAGTAATGAGAGGACTCTATTTTCTCTGCTGCTGCTGAGGTTACATTAAGTTCCAAATAACAATTACAGTATGCCAGTTCCACCGAGAACACAAAGTCTTTAGAGGTTTGTTGCAGTGAACGGAATGAATTTTAATGCCTATTATTTCTATGTACTTGAACAATATTTCAAATATAGTTGACCATTGATACTTGTCATCCAAACTCCCACAGCCCTACAAAAGTCTGTGGTTCCTAAATATGACCCCAATATTACCAATAAAATGTTCCAACTAGGTCTGTATCACTGTGGGTGAATATTTTGCTTAGCAGAAAACCTGACTTGAAGTTTGCTTTGACAAGGGATTGGAAAGATGCGTGAAAACCATGTTAAAAACTGAACGCGACATTTTAGGCAGCCAACCTGGTGGGTTTAAATCAAGACTCCTAGCTGTATTTTTATAAGGCTCCATAGGTATGTGTTGTTTTGGTTTTTACTGTTGTTTGTTTGGTTTTTAGGGATAGACATTCTCTTTCCTCTTCACCAAAGCCACCAAGTTTAAAACAATGTCAAATGGTAGAATAAGAAAGGGCAGGTTGAAATAAAAAAATGCAGTATGTTCTACAAATATGTGTTTTTAAATTCACACTAGAAATTATGTTAATTACTATTAAACTAGAGGCTGTACCTATAAGCAGATTTAATCACTCTTATCATGGGTTATCTTATTGCTAGAGAGAGTAAAACTAAATTATAGATAAATAATTTAAAAACTAGCTTGTTAATAGGCTTTTGATATTTTAGGAAGAAAACTTCCATCCACACATTCTTGGTAAGGGTTCCTTGAACTAATATATTTCTAAAAATTATTTTTAAGAGTAATATATTTTCCTCCAAGTGCTTTATAATTAAATTCCCTTAATTAAATTAAATTAATAATTAAATTATTAAATTAAATTCCCTTACAAACAGAAATTAACATTTTATAGATAAAAATGAATGTCTTCTTGTGTGTATATTTAAATTTAATGGGCAGAAGTATGAAGAAAAACATTTGAAAATGTCAGCAAAGTTTCTGTTTTGTTAAAGAAAGTTTTAATTTAGCAATATAGATATTGCTCTTTAGATATTATGAAAATATGTCAGTATATTTATGCAAAGCTAAGCCAAAATACCATTATGACAATGTGATGAGGCACAAGACAAAAAAAAAACTATCTAAACACAATTTTGCTAAAATCTTGTGACCTGACATCTATCAGGACTCATACAGTGGAAGGAGAGAAGTGACTCCCACATGTTCTCTACACACACACACACACACACACACACACACGCATGCATGCATACAATCAAATAAATGTAAATAGTTTAAATTATAGAAGCAATCTAGTAACAAAAAAAAATTGGACAAAAGCTCTCAGGTATACACAAAATCATCATTAAGAGTAAATCAAAAGTCTAGGTTGTGACCGAAGACCAATCTCTGAAAGTTTCCTGTGAAAGGCAACAAGTTAGTCACTTCTGAGGAGCACATTTGATGATTCATGTTAAAGTCCTTATTGATCTCCTGAGACTGCCAGCCTCTCTAAGTCCTCAGACCCTGTGTTGAGTGGATATTGACCTCATGTGATTGACAGAATAAGGGGACACTATGAGGAGAATAATATTCAAGGTGGATCTTTGCTCCACATCTGTGAGAATCTGCTGTAATCTAAAGTGCTAGGCTGGACATGGTGGCACACAGTCTTAAATCCCAGCACTCAGGAGACAGAAACAGGAAGATTTCTTTGAGTTTTTGAGACCAGCCTGTTATACATAGTGAGTTCCAGGCCAGGACAATGAAAAGAGACCCTGTCTCAAAACAAACAACAAAACAAAATCAAATACCCAAAAAAGAAACAAAAATCTAAAACAACAATAAAAAACCAACCACAACTAATAGCTGTCCCCTCTGAGCTGAGCAATGACTGTCTGTGCAACAGTGAATTCAATAGTCATTAATCCAAGAAGCCAAGTCCCTTGGCAGTCCCAATCTAAGGACTGATAGTCTGGAACTACCTAGAGTCACTGGTAATGCGTTCCATTAGGAGGCCAAAGAAGTCATGTCCATGGGTGATCTCAGCAGAATGCTCACTGCTTTTTCCTCAGACCTCTTTCTAGCTAGACTTTGTGTTGGAAGATGCTACCTACTTTGAGAGTAGGTCTTTCTTCTTCAGTTGACCCTCTCTGGGAACACCATTACAGGCACTCCCAGGGATGTGTCCCCTAGGTAAAATTCTAAATCTTAATGAATGTCAACAGGCTATCACATGTGCCACTGGTAATATGAAGCTAAGAGATGAATTAAATTTAAGGACCTGCTACTTCAGTGAGCTTGTTTGGGATTTCCAGCCTTTCTAGTGGTTAGGTGCATGCTGATATTTCCTCTAACATAAAGGTGAAACTGCTGATACTCAAAACTCTCACCACGTAGTGGAAAACCCAATTCGTGGTCAGCTATTTGGGGCTTCAAAGCCAACACATTCCATATTTGTAATCCGCATGCTAGGTGGAAGTCAAGGTGGACAAAGAATGGGGACAGACTTTGCTCTAGGACTTAGTGTAAGGAGTACTAAGCTTAAGCAATACATCCACAGATGTTAATGATGCAAACATCCGTGATGAGGAGAGACAGCATGAAACTGTTGGAATACAGCATCCATCATCAGAACAAGGTCCTGTAGAAAAGGACTCCTTTGCCCTAAGACATGACTGTGCCATGCATTTAGATGTCCTACTGTAAGTTAAGCTCTATCGGCTCCACTGGATCACAGTTAGAAAGAACTACAAGCTAATTGCAATATAGGAATTGTGATCAGAATCAAAGAGTTTGAGTAAGTTGCACAAGCAAGTAGCCTGGGAGCCAATATTGCCCAACAGAATTTCACTAGTTCTCCTCCCCTGTGTTTGCATGGTCGTATGTAGGGTTAAGGAAAGTCCTGTATGACTAGCAGTAAGAAAAGGAAACACATCAGAGCTTGGTGTAAATATAGGTTGGCTCAATTCATGGGAGAAAGTTAGACATGGATGGCAGCCACATATTAAAGCCATCTTCTGGACTTTGAAAGATAGTACATAGAAAAAAAAACTTTCCATAGATCAGAGATTTGGGCTGTACAAGCTGCCATCCACAAACATGAATCTATGGGGGCAATTTCACATTCAAACCACTTTGAGTGGGTAGAGAAAGGACTAAGAGTTCATGTGCCAACCTACCTCCAGCTCTGTCATAGTTTCTGCAGGAGCAACCACCCCTTACCTTTCAGTCCATCTCTTTTCAGAATAGCTACAAGGGTTGTGTTGCTCAAACACAGAAGTCACCAGAACACAGAGTGGGAAGGTCCAAATCCTTATAATGGTCTATATTCCTAGATGATTTGACTTTGACCTTAGGTGTTGGTTACAGTTTTTTTTTTCCTTGCTGGGATGATGAAAAACCTGAACAAAGCAACCTGAGGACTGGTTTATTTTAGCTCCTGGTTGAAGAGACACAGTCCATGATAGGGAAGGCATGGTGGTTGAAGGGTGAGGTGACTGGTCACATGGTCTAAAGTCAGGAAGCAAAAAGTGGACAGGAAATGGGGCCAGCTATACAAACTCATGGTCAGCTTCAATACTCACCCTTCACTAGAGCCTCTCCCCCTCCTAAAGTTTCTGCAACCTTCTAAAACAGCACCACCAGCTGGTGACCAAATGTTTGAACACATGACCCACTGGCAAACATCTCACAGTCAAATCAGGTCCTCTATGGTCTTATCCTGGTGTGATCTTTAGTACCCTACTCAAGTTGCATGGGTCTGATCATTCTTACAAACACACAGCCAGTCACAGGGCCTCTGCAGCAACTGCTGAGAACACTGAATTTATCAATCCTCATGAACACATTCTGAAGTTCCTCCCTTTAATTAAGGTCATTCTTCTGACTGACTGATTTTTCAATTAACTTTTTAATCTGTGAGAGCCGCACGTCCCTCAAGGCCGGAGGTCAATGTCAATATGAAAAGTTATAGCCTGGAAGAGCAATAATAGCAAAAATAATAAAATGGTCTGCAACTCCTCATCAGAGACAGAATTAAAATGAGAAAAGAATGATCTTTTTTTTTTTTACAGTTTAGTGCATAAAATGCATAAATATCAAAAATTTGATCACCAGCTTTTTTAAAGTTGAAGATAATTAAAATACTTATTTTTGTGAGTGTGAGTATTTGTCTGCATATATATATGTATGTATCATGTGTATATCTGGTGCCTGCAGAGGACACCAGAGATCTAGAACTGGAGGTTCACAGACTTTTGTGACCCACGATTTGGGTGCTGTGAGCCAAAGGTAGGTCCTCTGCAAGAGTAGCAAGTGCTCATAAGTCATTCATCCAGAACAAGACAGTCCTCCTCTTATATTTGAAGATACGGTTCCAATATGTAGCCCTGGCTTCTCTGGCACTCACTATGCAAAACAGGCTAACCCTAGTGTTTAACCTCCCCTCTTACCTCTGCCTCCCATGTGCTGGGATTAATGCCTGGCTTTATTTAACAACTTTTAATAATTATCTTCACAGTGTTCAAAAGGCTAAACCATGGTTTTGAATCTGGTTACCTAATCCTTTTGCTTTTCCATCTTTATTTAGGTACTTTGAAGTTGTTGCTAGATACATAGGTTATATTCTTTTGATAAACTGGCATGTTTATCTGACATACAAGGCCTGAACTCAACACTTTGTGCAAGTCAAGTATGGAGCAGGGCAACCCCTAACCCTTTAACCTTTATATTAGTTACTGGGTTAGTGTCCTGTCATTTCAGCCTGAAGGACTCACTCTACTGTTTGCTTCTTTGCATATATGCTAGTCACATGTGCTTGCCTTACCTCTGTAGGATTATCATAGTTTCCTCTTTATCTTTGACGAATTTTTAAAAAATTTTTAATAAAAAATGGAATTTTCTTCGACAGATTATTTTGTTTGTTTTAGCACTTGAAATGTCTCA